CCAAACGCTGGATGTTCTTGTGCAGGACGCTGTGCAGGACCCCCAAATGTTTCCCCACCTCCCCTTCCCTCCCGAAATCCCGGAGGAAAAGCCCCTGTTGGGGCTGGAAAGTGAATTTCTGAGGCAGGGGTTGATTCTCCCTCAGATATTCCCACAAGCTGAGGAGCAAAAGATGCACCTCGAAAGGTGCCAGATGCTGGAAAAGCTCCTGGACCTTCCCCAGCACAGGGGGGATCAAAGACCCCTCAGCCAGGATGGAAACCAAAGAACAAGAAGCCTGGAGGTGCCAGGGGGATCCAGAGGGTTGGAATTCCCGACAGGATTCCCAATATCCCATCAAACCCCCCAGGAGGCCCCTGAGCAGCACAGAACAGTAACACAGGGCAGGGGGGCCCGTGGCCACCAAGTGCAAAAGGGGGAACAAAAGGGGGTGATCCCTGAACTTCCTGCAGATCCTCAGATCCCTCTCCACGTTCCCACGGGATTGATCCTCCGGGGGGGGCCAAATTAATTCCCCTCCTGCCCCCCCAGAAGCTTCAGGGCAAATATTTTCCACCAGAGCAGCAGCAACAGCTTTGGCAGCTTCTGGGTTGATCCCATCTTGGAACTGGTTCCTCTTCCCTTCTTGGAATTGGGGTTTTTTCCCACGTTGGCAGCAACGGAGGAGGAGGTTGAGGAAGATGTGGATGTTTTGGGAATGTTGTTGTTCTTTTTCAACCTTTTCAGGGTCCCAAAGTTTCTCTTCTGGTTTCCAAAGGGGTTTGAAACCTTTTCCAATCACCCCGGAGTGAAAAACGGACCAAACCCCTCCCGGGCAGTTCAAGGTTGGGGTGAATTTTTGGTTCCCGTCCAAAAGGGAAGTGGGAAAAGGTTCTTTGGGTGTTGGGAAATCTTGGGGTTCGGCCCCAAAAAGGTGGGAGTTGCCTTTTCTCAAAGCTCCTTCCACCAGGTGCTGCAGGATGGACTTGGTGGCCGAGAGGGACAAGGAGCTGAGGCGGGTGAGGAGGTGGGAGGTCCTGGCCAGGTGGGAAGGGGGGGGAGGCCCCTTTTTTTGGTGTAAAAGGTGGAAAAATTGGTGCACGGCTGCTCGGAGGGTGGGGAGGAGGTGGGAGGGGGGT